AACGCTTGCCTTTATCCTCGCGTAGCTTCAATTTTCATCAGTGCATTTGCACTTTGTGGTGATAAGAGAATTGATTAGCTACCAGTCTGCACAAAGCTTGATGTTTAATTGGCTTCTGTCTCTCTTCTTTCCCAATACTGGTCAATGGCGAGCCGTCACACTCCTGCTGCATTTAATGCTTTTTTTGGCACGCGGTTAGGAGAGATAAAACAAGGTAAGGACATTTATAGTGCAAGTTAATTGGCGTTCGAAAGGCAGGAAAAAAAACGATTGGTGTTATAACTTCATAACTTCTTAAGTCATGCCTTGTGCACAGCTAGGCGTTGGACCAATGTAAAATTTACATTTTAATGAAATATTTGAATAAGTACTTGAAATTCACTCTAGCTGGGCTCCCAGACCTAAAACCAACATTTCATGTTTGTGTTTTTGAATGGCAGCGTCGGGGAAATTAACATGCCAGTCATACAGATTAGAGGGGCATCAGTGTAAAGTCAGACCTGCTTCAATCAAGGTTCACTGCAGGTAAACAGCTGCCATGACATATTTTAATGACAGTTATTTTCCATCCCCTCCCCTGAAGAAGAGCATTAAATCTGGGCTGAAATGAGAGATGCGGAGAGTTGCACAGGCTGAGAGTCCCATCAGAAGCTGCTTTAATATGTATCTGTAAAAGTGTGTAAAGGGCTGTAAAGTAAAGGCTCTAATCTCAAACAGTAATGTGCCAAATATTAATGAGACAGTTGGGAAATGTAGGCCTGCTGCTTTCAGGATTTCAAGTTCTCTGAGCATTCAACGTTACACTGACTTTCCATAATTATTTATCTTAAACCTGGAAATAAGCAATCTGTAAAACAGAAACATTGTGACATAAAACCTGCAGTTCCACTTAATTACTTTGATATATAAGTGCAATGGTAATAGAGACACTAAGTTGCGTTCTGCGTATATAATACTACACAGAACGTCTCCGCAGTCATTCAGACCTACTTTAGTAGTTAAATATGTATTGACCTTAGATTAATGCATGCGCAAATGTGCTTTTTGCACTCATGATATGTAAATCAAAAGTAAACTTAGTCACGTCCATTAATGCATGCATGGTGGCAGAAAGCCGTGACACTCGTAATTATTCATGTTGTTTTGCATCATCTAAATTATTCAGAGATCCTGCTTGAATATGGAAAATTAATCCAAACAATGCTTCCTTTTAGTATAAGAGAAAAATGTTTGATTATACGATTAGTAAGCTCATCACGCTGTTCCAATGATTATCTTTTGAGAACGGGTTCTAAGTGAATGAATTGGAATATTTGAATACTTCATCATAACGTTTTTTTTTTTTTGAGTAAAAAAATAAAATATAACTATAATTACAATAATCAGAAATGTTTTCTTTACTTAAGCTTTCTAAAGTTTATCTCAATATTTTAACTAATTAATTTTTTCTGTACTTAATTTTCCTACTGTTCTATGTTGATATGCCTGTAGAACAGCTGGCAGTAATTGAAACAAAACATTGGCTGATTAACCAGCATCTGACAACCCATGATCCAAACAGCATGCCCAATGCAAATCAGAATAACACGCTCCAAACACAAGAGGCCCTGGAATGAAGTGGTCATCATCTAATTAACACAAAATGTTTTAATTACAGGCTAAACCAAGCAGCACAGTGTGTCAATTTAACTGATGTGCTAAGTGGCGGTTTACAATATCAGAAACTGACAAATAATTGGAATCTAATTGCAGCAGGTCTATTGCCCACCAGTGCCCGAAGCAGCTCATCTTAATAAACTTTTCTCTCTTTTTTTTTTTTAAACATCAAACCGTGAATAGCAAACACTACCGCCCCTGCTAATTGCCACATCGCAGGATTGGGAATTTGCCAGCTCTGACTATTAAAGCAAAGCTCTTGTGTGGATTGCTGTTGCATTGCCACACTTTAATTAGAATGAAACGAGGGGTAGGAACGGAGTCTTGTTACTGCAATTCAATATATGTTAATAAGATAATGCACTAATCTGTCCATTTCATTTCCAAGAGCCTACGCAGACCGTGGGTTCGGTAATAAGGCCTAGACTCTCACTTGGTAACATAAGTAGACTGGTGTGAATGACATGATAGAGACAGTTTGGATTTTTTTTTTGCCATTTTTTCATTTGAAGATCAAAAGGTATTCATGCTTTGCAAGACGCTGAATAGCATAACTTTGCGTTTATATAAACTTACGAGAGCGGTTGACTGAAAATGAATTCCTTTCAAGCCTTGAATAAACAAGTAAAACTGAGAACGAAAGATCTGATGTGTGATCAGGGAGCAATATGTACTTCCTCTAATTTTATTTGAATAACATGGACACATGCATGTTCAATGTTCAACAACTTTTACAGGACATTATTTTGCATTCGTACAGTGACCCTGAAAAGTATTGGAGTATTTGGAAGTTTTTTTACATTAACAAATATGCATTTTATTGCATTATATAAAATTTCTTTTCTTTTCTTTTGATGTCCAACTCCCCCTTTTTTTTTACATTTTGAACATTATATGTTAAGAATTTAAACAATAATTTGCTCTCTAATACATTTATAGGTTTTTAAGTGACAATGTTGTGATATGATATAATGATATATTCTGATCATTCTGATATGACTCTTTATCCCAAAACAAAATATAGAAGCTTTTTTTGTTTTTTAGGAAAAGGAACATTAGTATCATTGAGATACTATTATAATTTTATTCACATTTTGAGTCAGTTTTTTTAAATATAATTTACATTTTCATTTTAGTTACAGTTTTAGTAATTTTGTTGCGTTTTATATATATATATATATATATATATATATATACTGTATAT